GCAGTTTACGCATTGCTTACATGTTGCGTGCTTGTGAATGTCCTACGGTCGTCGACTTAACGTCGTGTAGTAACCGATTCCTCGTTCACAGACGAAGGGTTTACAACGCTCATATGACCTGCTTTTCACGCGTTTGTGGTGTAACAATAGGTTTTATTGTTTCGAACAACCTTTACAGTGTTGTCGTATTTTCGATATAACGTCCATTCATACATAGTCGGTATTCTGGTTTCCCATCATCGAATTTGGGGAAACCTGTTACCAATCCCACGCTCAGATAAGAGGTATGGTTGGATAAGGATCTCCAATCATTATTGCGCCGGACGCTGTGTTACGAGATATATATACAATGGGTTACATACAATTGGTTCCATGTACTGAATATGAGGACCCTAGTGCATATGGCTGAATTTTGCCGAAAATGTATCTCAATCTGTGACAAATATTATTGAAATTCGGAGAAAATGTTTCTTTGATATTAATATATTCTTGTGTCAAAAATTACTTGAGTCGTGTCAATATTTCCTTTAGCCCCCATATACCTAATATAAAGATTGTCGAGTTTCCAGTTGACTTTATACCACATATATCGGCTAATAGTTATTTTAATGAAATCGAGAAAGCGTATTTTTCTAATAACAGTGCATCTTTGTGCTTAAAATCGGGCGAAAACTTAGCCCCCATATAACTGATATTCAGAATATTGAAACGTCCGGAAAACTTTAATCCATTTATGTATATCTTTATACTTATATATTTATTGAATTGCTTGAAAATAACTTCTTAAATATACTTGGGCAATGTCAAAAATTAATTCGATCAGCCCTTCCACTTTTCTGCCCCTAATATATCCTATTTAATGATTTTCGACTTTCCACCTGACTTTAAACCGTTAAGTTAAAAGTTTTCTTAAAAGTTATAAAATTATATTAATGTTTAATTAGCGTTTTCGGTTGAGTTGATATCACATATATCTCATTTGAGAATGATTTTAGTAGAGTTTTCGATGGCGGGAAGTAAAATATAGTAATAAAACTAATTGAGTTTATGACTTTCAAAAAAAGTCAATTTGATACCAAATTTGATTGTAATTCATTCACGATTTCATCGAAAAATGAATGTTGAATTCTTTCGCTACATTTTATAATGTCAACATGTTCGGTTACAGCCGAAATTAGCTCTTCTTTACTTTTTTTTTTCAAATTATCTACTATGCCTCGATTAAGAGAACTATCTTAAAAATAAAATAGGGTTTAATTTTGTCATTGCATTATAGGCAATTAACAATTTCGAATGTAAGTTTTTGATATTCTCATGGATTGCGCATTTATGTTTTTGAATATTTTTTCACATTGTAACATCACCCCCATTACTTTTTCATGTTCAACCCGAACTGGTTCACCATATAAAGAAACAATGGTGTGAAATGAAAAATTGTTTCATACTTATGATATAATTCATTATTTTATTATTTAATAAATAGAGATATTTTACTCGATTCGAACTCCTTTCTGTATTGCGTCAAAAGACATGTACGCGTAGTATTGTAACGCAAATAGTGCTGCATTGTTAGAAGACTTGGCATAGTTTTTACCGATTCACTAATCTGATTCATTTATTTAATCAATAGGTTTCTGATCCTGACGTCAGCTGCATTAGCGCGTACTCCGTCTACATAACAATTTTGGATTGGAGGGTAGTCATCTATAGCCTATAATTCACAACCTGAGTTTAACCATTTACATTGTGAAAGAACTTCTTTAAACCTTTCCACAGCCTTATATTACGAAAACATGCAAGTTAGATTCATTAAGGATTCATTATCGACATTTCCCATTTTGGATGACGGACGGAGTCCTTGATTGAAACATACGAAGAAGTAATTTACATTAATATCCAAAAAAGTTAAAAGAAATCAGTTAACTGAAACGTTAAGCAAACTAATTAGCACATTAGAAAACATGAATTTGAACTAATATCAGCAGGTACTGCCTTAATATTTTATATAGAACTAGTTCATTATTGAATTACTTTGGCAAAAATAACTTAGTATTACAAGTTGTGATGAAGGAAAATAATTAATTTTAAAAGCGCTAGGGCTTTTCAAATTATTCAAATAACCTGAAAATCGATTATTCGAATAACCGTTAGTGTGAATATTAACCCAATAACACTCTAACGGATTTCTCGATACCTTATAACTCACTCTTTAGTTCGATCACTATATTGTTAAATAAAAGTTCCAATTTAATGGCTATACACCTGTCTTTATTTTTAATTCAAACAACTTAACATTTTACTATTCATTATCTAAAATTCACAAGTTCTTACTTATATCTTAATTGCTCTTAACATGGCACTCTAACTAGAACTGTCCCTCCAGCACAATCTAGCAGCCCTATATATAAGATCTTTAACAAACCTTCGCTAGCATTCTGTCAACTGTGAATTTGCTGTCTAGTTGATTCTGTCAATTTATCGTCGAATCGATTTTGTTCAATCATGCGTCACAATAGTCGACTATTACGACTATTCGATTACTTGCTCTGTTGCGAGTATTTAAAAAAATAAAAAAATTTTGAAATCCAAGCAGCCTTTGATTTGTGCACAAAATTTTATTATTGAATGTTTCACTTTTTTCAATAAAAATAAGAAAATAAATTACCGCTTATTATTCGAATAGTCGACAAAGAAATGTTAACCGGATAGTCGAGAATGAGCGGTTAATCGAATAGTCGACGATTTACGACTATCCCGATACTGCAAGCCGAATATTATTTTTCGAATGATAACCTATCCGGTTAATCTGATTAAGGGAATACCAAGAGCTCTAAAAATCGTCCTCTAGAACATCGTTAACGAAATTCAGAATGATGGAAACCAATTCTATTATTCAAATAATACCCTATGCGGTTAATCCGATAAGTGGAATAGAAGAGAGAGATGGACAGAGTATTTATATATGTAGGAGACGACGTAGAACAAAAGCCAAATTAGTGGTATCTGGGCCGGTTACACAAATCTATCTCACAGCGAGGAATGGAGATCGGCCGCCGCTAAAAATTTTAGCGAATGGGTACTCAATCGTTTTACGCATTACGCACAAAACAATGTAATATTTCTTGGGCTAATTCCCGGATACTTAAGTTAGCGAAAAGCTATCATTAATTGCTGGGTTTCTCATATCGTTGAAGTTCATAGCCTCGTCGAAAACACACATCAGTTGAAATCATTCAGTTTATAATACACCTATTATCTGTCAATATTGCGACTCCATTTTATATTTGTGCAATACAAAAAATGTGTAAACAATAAAATTTTATTAAGCATCTTATTATAGAAGCAACATATGTGCCCAGATACTACTAAGGACACTTGACGGTTGCCTACTAATTTACTTAAACGGTCAAACACTCATTCTGCTGCAGTGTTGCCGGTTAATGTTAAAAATTTAATAACTTTAAAAAGTTTTACATATTATAATATTTTTCGATAATTAAAATTCCAAAATATTAAATTTATATAATTTCTCCTAAATATTATTAAATGTTTTAAATTTTATTAAAAATATTTATAGAATATTTGCGTAACAGTTGAACAGTGAAATTTGTATTTTGTGCAACAGAGTGATGTCAAAGTCATTTCAACAAACATATGTTAAAGCTTTAGAAGCTTTAAATTTAATGTAAAAGTTAACAAATATAAAAATTTATAGAGTGAGTAATTAAATATATGTATTATTATTATTTAATTATATTATATATTTGTATATTGTATATACATAGAAGTACGCACTTGCAGAAGTGCTAAATATTTAGTTGTGGGTGATTAGACTATTTTGTAAAATATATATATTACTTTGTAGATGTTTTGATTTTATTATTGTTAATGAATACAATTGAATGTGAGGTGAGTCGTGAGGAAAAGCACTAAATAGTTATAAACTTTTGTTTTGAAAATATTCTTGAAAGTTGTTATTAATGTTTCAATTGCAAATACCTTTTCCCAAAATTATACTACATTTCTTTTATTTACATCCTGCATCAAAAAAAGCTGTGTAACACACAGGAATACAGTTGATTCTTTACTTGTAGGATTTTACAATCAATTTTTAAATCTACTTACTTTTCGCTAGTTTAAGTTAAGATACTTCTTCTAATGCATCCAACACCTCATTAAAGTGTAATAAATAGTAAATTTATTAAGTTGTATATTATTTAAAAATTTGACCAAGTCAAGAGAGAAGGAATTTTATCTGCTTCCATATTGAGAGACTTCATATAAATGAGACTTCACTTTCGGTATTACATACTATATCAATTTTAAAACTTTTAGATAACTTACTTCAGGATTCTTAGGATTCAGGATTAGATATGTATATTCATAATGTAATGTTTTGTTGATAAATATCTTATTTATTAATATTTAATATTTCATTTCAGATGTTGATCTAGGTGACGATGAATACAAATATGGAAGCCTGCAACCCAAAAATTATGATCACGACATCTCACAACCCTTCTGCAAGGTTAAAATGTTTGTAAAGGAATTACGACTAATTTTCCAAATGCACAGCGAATGAATAGAGCAAAAATGATTTAAGGCAATTATAAAATTATGCTGTTCTAACGACGTGACAGATATTATAATTGAATCGAACATCGGGGAATACCTGATAATATTGTCATAAGCCACTTACCAAACGGCCCTACCGCTTTTAATATTTCTAGTGTTGTTATGAGACATGACGTACCTTTATTGGAAAATGAGAACAAAGTCCTCATTTAATCTTTCACAATTAAAACTAAATGGAGAGCGAGCAGTAAATATATTAAAACATCTTTTTCCACGCCGAAAGGGATTCTAAGTAAATACTTTTGCTAATCATGATGACTTTATATCACTGCGTCATCATTTATATAATTACAAAAATAAAGAGTTGGAATTAATAAGATTGCCTAGATTTCAACTAAATTGTATCAAATAAAATTGGGAATATTGGAGAATTTCAAGCTTCGGATACTGAATGGTTTTGAGACTTACCTGAACACATCAATTAAAAATAGAGTTTATTCATTAGAAAACGTTGGGATCAGGAAGGGCCTTAAAATTTTGGATTAATTTAAAAATGGAAATCTATTTATAAATGTTAATAATGGAATTTATTGAAATTATCAAATGTTTGGAATACAGAAAAGTTGTATGTTATGACCACGAGACGCTGTTTATTTGTCTTGAGTCAAAATTCGTCCTTGTAAAGGACGTTTTAAACTTATGAGACAGTGGAAACTATTAAGCTAAACTACAACATATACTAATATACTTGCGTTAATTTTCAAGTTACAAAGAAAATTAACTTATGTATAATAAAATATGTTACTATGACAATTATAACAATTGGTACATTAGTACGACACCAGCGTTATTATTGATATGGGTGTACCCAATAACTAAGTTTCGTTATTTTGGTTGATTTTATATCATTATTGATGCAAGTTTCTTCAATAAAACAATTAATAATGTCATTTGACAGTACAATTTAGTGGTATGCACTAATTATTAATATATTGATATTTGGCTGCTCGGGAAACTGCTCGGTATAAATGCTAATTGAGCATATATGGTAAATATTGAATAATATAACAATAGCACGCTTGGTATTCAAATAAAAACGGTTATTATTTCATAAGTGTATCACTTATGGATTTAGAGAGACATCATTTTATTTTAAAATTATACTTTCATATTACTAAACACAAAAGTAGTTA